ATCTTTAGTAACAATCTAAGATCTTTAGTAACAATCTAAGATCTTTAGTAACAATCTAAGATCTTTGGTAACATCTAAGATCTTTAGGATCAAACTAAGATCTTTAGTAACAATCTAAAATCTTTGGTAACAATATAAGATCTTTAGTAACAATCTAAAATCTTTGGTAACAATATAAGATCTTTAGTAACAATCTAAAATCTTTGGAAACAATATAGGATCTTTAGTAACAATATAAGATCTTTGGTAACAATCTAAGATCTTTAGGATCAAACAAAGATCTGTAGAATCAAACAAAGATCTGTAGAATCAAACCAAGATGAGTAGAATCAAACTAAGATCTGTAGAATCAAACTAAGATGAGTAGAATCAAACTAAGATGAGTAGAATCAAACTAAGAAGATTAGAAACAAACTAAGATTGTTAGGATCAAACTAAGATCTAGGATCAAACTAATATCTGTCGAATCCAACTAAAATCTTTAGGATCAAACTAAAATCTTTAGGATTCAAATTAAGATCTGTAGGATCAAACTAAGATCTGTCGAATCCAACTAAGGTCTGTAGAATCGAACTAAGATCTGTAGGATCTAATAAAGATATTTAGGATCAAACCAAGATCTTTATCTTCTAACTATGATATGTGGGATCTAACTAAGATCTTTAAGATGAAACTAAGATCTGTAGGATCAGACTAAATTCTTCAAACTGATTCTCTAAGATATTTAGGATTAAAACTTAGATGTTTAGAGTGTTTAGATAAAACTAAGTTGGGAAAATCAAACTGCTCTCGGAAAAATACCGAGATCTGATTCATGTTCTGTTTAGAGCAAGGTCGGAAACGGGAGAGTAGTTTAAGTGCTCAGGATAGCAAGGAATTATACCAGCAGAGCAGGCAGGCGATCAGAGCTTCATTTGGACACATGGATAAACCCCATCCGAACAACAGGTTTGTTTTTATACCTGGGACTTGTTATCCCCCCCCCCCTCCTCCCCCTCCAGGAAAATTATCCCAAATTGATCATTTCCCTTTCATTATTAATATGTTTTCCCACACTGTATGTTAAACCTTCCACTTAACCTTATTTATATAATTGGCGTCAAAGCAAACAACATCTCTCTGATCTGACATGGAGTGTTGTGAAATAATGAGATGTATTTGAACTATGTATGACTGGTTCAACCAAATAGTTCTATTATGAATAAGTTCTGAAATGTCATGCATCGGGGTCAAACAAATATGTCAGATTTCTTGGCCTTACATTAATAATTGATACACTTAAAAACTTAAAAAACTAAAAAGACTTTTTGAGCTTTCACTTGAGTATAAACCCGGTTCATAATGAATCACAGCTGTAACTCTGGTCTAATATTTGTTATTCATTCAGACCAACTGTAGACAGTGTAAAGAATATTTCTGGTTCTGGTCCTGAGAATAGGATTGCTACTGTGGCCTGGATGATTATATTTGGAGACGGAATCCATAATTTTATCGACGGTTTAAGTATCGGAGCAGCTTTCAGTGAATCCATCCTTACAGGAATATCTGTCAGTGTCGCAGTTCTCTGCGAAGAGTTTCCGCATGAACTGGGAGATTTTGCAGGTATATTCAAACCGATGTTTTTAGGGAAACCTCTAATTCAAGTTTTCCGCTTGTTCAGTACTTTTGACTTATTAATTCGTCTCATAATTTGTACTAAGCTTTTTTAATGAATACGAATGCCTTTATAATATATATTATTAATACAGTAGAATATTCTATTTTGTTATTTTTTAATGAATACACTTAATCTTTAATCAGAGGATTATGTTGTTAAAATTTATTAGAAATATGACGTTAGTATAGTTTTATTCTGTCAGACTCAATTCCAGATTAAGGAGTAGATGCGTAGTAAATACAAAGTGTGCATATTTTTGTTCTTTTTTTTACAGATATTTTTTTAACTTTGAACAATTAAAATATAAATATTGACATTATTATCATCGTTGATGGTGATACAACGTAGTTGTTTGAAACTTGTAAGTTTACTACGGCGTTGTGAATTTATAATAGAGCCATTTGTCAATTTTAAATCTGATCATTTTAGTTTTATTGAATGCTGGAATGACAATGAAGGAAGCACTACTGTACAACTTTCTCTCCGCCTGTACATGCTACCTGGGCCTTATTCTTGGTATTCTTCTAGGTAAGTACATAAAGCTACAGGGTGTATACTGTAAATATTTCAGAATTGGGGGGGGGGGGTTGAACATCAAAAGGCAAGTTTTTCTTTTTTATGATACCTCATACTCAAAAATTCATTTATTTTCCCTAATTCTTCAGATAAAGCTTTTAAAAAAAATTCGTACCGCGCAAACATACACAATTTCTTGGGGGAAAATGTTCTTAAGGAGGGGAATGATTTTCTGAGAAATTGTACATTGTACAGTGTACACTACTGTAATGATAAAAAATATTAAATGAATGTATAAACATTTTCAATAAAGTACGTTTGTTTGTCTAATCAGAGGTCAAAACTTTTAAATTTAAAGAACAGCTATTTGGTCCTTATGTTTAGTTACGGGTATTACGACCTGCATGGGATATCTGGAAAAGGAATTAATCCAACCCGACTGTACAAAAAAATGAAGAAAAAAACTGATTAAAAATTGATTAAAAATATATTTTTGATTAAAAGATGGTTAAATTAAGTTATAATTTAATATGTTTAGATTTTATCTGTTAAAAGAATTAGATTAAAGAATTGTATCAACTTATTGACTAAACATCGTTCTTACATTTGTCCATGGTCTTAATATGGAGAAGAACTATAACACTAATGCTATACAAAATTATGGATGAAAAATGTTAACATTCAATTTTTTTTCAATGTTAATTTTACAATATGCTTTTTTATAATTCCATTTTTCCATCAAGATATTTTTCGTAATTTATGTTTGTAAAACGGAATGGGATCAAAAAGTTTTAAATTTCAATTTTTAGGTTAACCAAAGATTCATTGTTAAATAACAATAAATATTTTTTTATTGATTATTGTTTAGGCGAGCTTGATGCCAACAGTTATATATTTGGTTTGGCTGGAGGAATGTTCCTGTATATATCCCTGGTGGACATGGTTCCGGAGATGAACGAGAGCGTGGAGACTGCCAGCAAGACGAGCACCAGCTCCGCCCTAGGGGTCTTCCTTCTCCAGAATATAGGGATACTGGTCGGGATTGTATGCTTGTATACTCTTGCAAGGTTTCAAGATGATATACAGTTTGGATAATAGTTCTCATCTAATAGTTGGATATCAGGTTCAGGGTATACAATTAAGATACTAGTTCTCATCTAGTAGCTGAATATCAGGTGCAGGATATACAGTTAAGATAATAGCTCTCATCTAGTTCTTGGATATAATAATATTTACCATCTAGGAGCTCTTGAACCAAATATTTCCAAAGAAACAATTTAAACCAAAAGTTTATTCATAGAATTGTTCCATTATAAAAGTAATTGCCAAAGCAGAGCGATTTTTTTGTAGAAAGACCTGTTAATGTATTTTGTAAGTTTTATTTCAACAATCGATTTTTATTGTTTTTTTTTATATACCGAAACGAATCTACAAAATATAAGGGTTTTTTTCTGAACTGTAATTGTATATTTCTCATACAAACAACAAATTAGCAATTAAAAACATTGTTTAAAATTCTTAATTGTGCAAGATTACTTTTTTACGATTACACATTTAAAGTCTTTTTGTGGGAGTAATATCTCTGAGGCATGGCTCGTTTCCTTTCCCTGAAAAAAAAACTTTTTCAATTGAAACGGTAACGCTGTATAGTTGAACGGTGCTTAGGATCCGGATCTTTTGGATCCGCAACATTTTAGATCCCTGGATTCGGATCTGCAAACCATTGCGAATCCATGGAAGCGGCTCCAAAAAGAGAAGAAAAAAACCTTTTTGTTCTCAAAACTCAAATCCACTGTTGAGGAATAATTAAAACCCTACTAATGAATAAATTAAAAATTAAGATTCCACCAGCAAATTTTCCGAATGAAGAAAAAATATTTCGGAAATTTTTGGTTTGTGTGAAGAAATATTCATGATCAGGATTTGGATCCAGATTCACATTTAGATCCTGTTCCGGATTTGAATTCAGGATCCATTACATAACAGGATCCGGTTTGGATCCGTATCTAACAGGATCCTAAGAACTGCAGTTGTCCAAATAATAATGATAAATTATCCTAGTTCTGTGCAATATATCAGGAAGCTGTGTTTTCGTTTTATATTAAATGAGATGAGGTCGGAAGAAGTTGAGAGGATTGTTTGGCTCCGGAAATTATTTTTTACCGATGTTTTTATTTATTTTTTGTGACATGTAAACCTGACTTTATGTAGTGATGCGATTAATATATTATTAGTTTCTTTGGACGGTTTTTTTGTATTGTTTCTTTAATTTTCCAGTAGCTTCAGTGAGAACCAGAGAACTCAGGAATAGGAAGACGACTTTTAGAATAAAATTTTGACTATATAGTGAACATGAAACGCAGCAAACGTTCAATTGTCTTTTAAGCAGACCCATTTAACTTATAAAGTGATACAATAAGTTCCTAATTAAACTATTTGCTCTTTAAGGACCTAAGTATTGCTATACCTATTGCTTCCTATTCCAGAGTTTTCTGGTCATCACTGTATTATACAATAGTCGATGTTTATTGTATCATTATTATTGTATATTCTGTTATTCGATGATTATGTTTTCGTTAATATCTAGCATATGAATAAACACTGTTATTATGTTTCAAGTTATTTTTACTTGTTAAATTATGTATTGTTAAATAATAATAAATTTTGCACATTTTCTATTTTTAAACATTAAGATTGTATTGTAAATAATTCTTGTAAATTCTACTTTGAATTCAAGTCAAAATGTGTATGAAAAAGGGGGTCAGTTAATTGCATAGATAATCCTTTATCGGAATTTTCTAAAAACTTTCTATTCGTAATTAACATTCAAAGAATTCAAGACCCTGAACTTGGTAGGACTTTAAATGTTGGCATTTAAGTCATTAAGCCTTTCTTCAGCTGCTCTAGAGGGTGTCTCTTAGAAAACATTGGAACTAATTGGTGTCTGTTAAATCGTCTTCTTTCGGAAAGTTCAAAGTTTTGTTTAGTTTTAATAAATTGAAAGTATTATTTCTGAGTCTAATTTTAAGATAATTAAAGAAAATAAACCACATTTTAAAAGATCCTACGTGCAACTTTTTTGATGCATCGGATGCATCCTTTGACTTAATTTATTATAGAAAATCAAAAAAGATATTAAAGCTTGATGCATTTTTTATAAGTGTCATGGTCAACAAATATTTCGGAAGAAACTGCAATTTAGCCCAGTTGGACTAGTTCGAAGAAATTTGCAATACAGTCGCTATAAAAAGGTTTAAAGAAAACTACAATTTTGTCAAAATCAATAGGTTTTCTGTAAAAAATTAAAATTTAGTCGGGTTAAACAAGTCCGTAGAACTTTGAAATTTATTAAGGTTAAACAAGTTTGTAGAAAACTGAATTTTAGTCGGGTTAAACAAGTCGATAGAAAACTGAATTTTAGTCAGGTTGAACAAGTTTGTAGAAAACTGAATTTTAGTCGGGTTGAACAAGTTTGTAGAAAACTGAATTTTAGTCAGGTTGAACAAGTTTGTAGAAAACTGAATTTTATTCGGGTTGAACAAGTCGGTAGAAAACTGAATTTTAGTCAGGTTGAACAAGTTTGTGGAAAACTGAATTTTAGTCGGTTTGAACAAGTTTGTAGAAAACTGAATTTTAGTCAGGTTAAACAAGTTTGTAGAAAACTGATTTTTAGTCGGGTTGAACAAGTTTGTAGAAAACTAAATTTTAGTCAGGTTGAACAAGTTTGTAAAAACTGAATTTTAGTCAGGTTGAACAAGTCGGTAGAAAATACAAATATTTGGGTTGAACAAGTAATTAGAAACTTGCAATCTAATCGAGTTGAACAAGATAGAATCAAAATTAGTTTTAAGAAAACTGCATTCATCATGTTTAAAACAGGGTACTAGTCAGCAGCTAATGGAAAGATTATAATTAACTTAACAAAGATGAAGTCATGATGATTTAGCAATTTAAAATTAGAGGCCCTTGTTTTTTGTAAATAAAGGGAAATAATACTTATGAGAATAACTTAAAGTCAGTATAGGGAGAATAACTTAAAGTCAATATAGGGAGAATAACTTAAAGTCAATATAGGGAGAATAACTTAAAAGTCAATATAGTGAGAATAACTTAAAAGTCAATATAGGGAGAATAATTTTAAAGTCAATATAATGAGAATAACTTAAAGTCAATATAGGGAGAATAGCTTAAAGTCAATATAGGGAGAATAACTTTAAAGTCAATATAGGGAGAATAGGGACCGAGTCCCAACATGGTAAAAGATGAAGATTCATGGGAAGTCCCAACAGGTGTAGGCATCACAGGGAGTCCCAACAGGTATAGGAATCACAGGGAGTCCCAACAGGTATAGGAATCAGATGGAGTTTCAACAAGTATAGCAATCACTCAGGTATAGGAATCACAGGGAGTCTCATCAGGTAAAGAAATCAGAGGGAGTCCCAACAGGTATAGGAATCACAGGGAGTCCCAACAGGTACAGGAATCTCAGGGAGTCCCAAGTGGTATAGACATTATAGGGAGTCCCAACAGGTAGAGGAATCTAAGAAGTCCGAACAGGTATAGGAATCACAGGGAGTCCCAACAGGTTTTGGAATCAAATGGAGTCCCAACAGGTAGAGGAATCACAGGAAGTCCCAACAGGTAGAGGAATCACATGGATTCCCAACAGGTTTTGGAATCACATGGAGTCCCAACAGGTAGAGGAATCACAGGGAGTCCCAAGAGGTATAGTAATCACAGGAAGTCCCAACAGGTATAGGAATCGCAGGGAGTCCCAACAGGATAGGAATCATAGGGTGTCCCAACAGGTAGAGGAATCACAGGGAGTCCCAACAGGTTTAGGAATCACATGGAGTCCCAACAGGTAGAGGGATCACATTGAGTCCCAACAGGTAGAGGAATCACAGAAGGTCCCAACAGGTAGGGGAATCATAGGAAGTCCCAACAGGTAGAAGAATTATAGGAAGTCCCAACAGGTACAGGAATCACATGGAGTCCCAACAGGTATAGGAATGACATGGAGCCTCAACAGGTTTAGGAATCACAGAAAGTCCCAACTGGTATAGGAATCGCAGGGAGTCCCTACAGTTACAAGAATCACAGAGAGTTCCAATAGGTAGAGGAATTACAGTGAGTCCCAACAGGTATAGGAATCACAGGGAGTCCCAAGTGGTATAGGCATTATAGGGAGTCCCAACAGGTAGAGGAATCTAAGAAGTCCGAACAGGTATAGGAATCACAGGGAGTCTCAACCGGTAGAGGAAGCACATGAAGCCTCAACAGGTAGAGGATTTCACATGAAGTTTCAAGGCGGTTTAGGAATCACAACAGGCATAGCAGTCACAGGGAGTCCCAACAGGTATTGGAATCACAGGGAGTCCCAACAGGTATAGGAATCACAGGGAGTCCCAACAGGTATAGGAATCACATGGAGTCCCAACAGGTAGAGAAATCACAGAAAGTTCCAACAGGTATAGCAATCACAGGAGTCCCAACTGGTAAAGGAATCACATGGAGTCCCAACAGGTAGAGAAATCACAGGGAGTCCCAACAGCTATAGTAATCACAGGGAGTCCAACAGGTAGAGGAATCAAAGGGAGTTCCAACAAGAAGATAAATCACATGGAGTCCCAACAGGTATAGAAATCACAGGGAGTCCCAACAGGTATAGGAATCATATGGAGTCCCAACAGGTATAGGAATCATATGGAGTCCCAACAGGTATAGTAATCACAGGGAGCCCCAACAGGTAGAGGAATCAAAGGGAGTTCCAACAAGAAGAGGAATCACAGAAGTCCCAACAGGTATAGGAATCACAGGGAGTCCCCACAGGTACAGGAATGACAGAAAGTTCCAACAGTTAAAGCAATCACTGGAGTCCCAACAAGAAGAGAAATCACATGGAGTCCCAACAGGTATAGGAATCACAGGGAGTCCCAACAGGTATAGGAATCACATGAAATCACAACAGGTATAGGAATCATATGGAGTCCCAACAAGTATAGTAATCACAGGGAGTCCCAACAGGTATAGGAATCAAATGGAGTCCCAACAGGTATAGTAATCACAGGGAGATCCAACAGGTAGAGGAATCAAAGGGAGTTCCCACAAGAAGGTGAATCACAAGGAGTCTCAACAGGTAGAGGAATCAAAGGGAGTCCTAAAAGGTTTAGGAATCCCATGGAGTCCCAACAGGAAGAGGAATCACATGGAGTCCCAACAAGAAGAGGAATCACAGGGAGTCTCAACAGGTAGAGGAATCAAAGGGAGTCCTAAAAGGTTTAGGAATCCCATGGAGTCCCAACAAGAAGAGGAATTGCTAGAAGGAACCACAAGGATATAAATGAGTAAATCATACAGAAAAAGGTGATTGAGGTTTGCGGCTTTAATCTGTTTTCAAAATGTCAGAAGTACTTATTGAGGATCCATCTGTCCGTGTAATTATTGAACTAAATCAAGTGTGAAGCTTTAAATTGGAAAAAGTTGCCGGTAAACTAATTCACTAAATAATTTTCCTAAATACTTGCTAATTTTTTTATTTTATTTTATTTTTTATTTATATTTTAATAGCAGAGTGAAAAAGTTACTTAATCACCCTCTACAACGGGAAATATTGTGGTGTGATAAATTCCATCAAAATTGAATAACAAATTTCTTAATTCACACTTCTTAAATATTCGGACCCCTCCCCTTCTTTTAATATTAGGACATGACCCCCCCCCCCTCCTGCTTACTGCCTCATAGAACATGAGATGCATTGTCTTCTAAATTCTTATAATAGAAACTTAAGGCAATGTTCTACTTGACCAGACACAACGTTAATCAACATCAAAAATACAGATTTTAAAACTTGAAAAACTTTTTAAACTTTTCATACAATTTAAGGAGTTTTTTTTTTGCAAAATTTCCACGTAAATTCTTGAAACTTTTAAATTGAAACAAATAATTTGTTTCGTAATTATACATGATAAAAGTGCTTTTTTTCCCTTACTAAAAATATTCAAAGGATTTTTATAAAGAATGCTTCAGAATTAAAGGTTCGCTCAATAGAGAGAAACAGGAATCCTCACGCATTTTTGGGGCCCGAAAAAGACGTATTATTCAGATTTTCTATTTTTCAACGTCAAACGAGAAAACTTTTAAAAATTAGGATAGTAATTTGACAAATGTACATTAAATTCCCTAAACAGAGAGATACATACAAATAAATGATCGTACAAATCTATCCAAAAAAAATAGTTCGTTCTTAATTCTTTTTTCTTTACGTAAACATTCCTTAATTAAAAGAAAGCATTTTGGTTACACTTTTCCTGGAAAAAGAAAATGTGCCACACCCCTGAGTTTTATAGTTAAAGATTTTGTTGTGAAAGCTGGTTTGTTTGCCTCCTTTTTATCTGTTTCCAATTCTTGTTTTGTTTGTGTTTCAAATCCCAAGTTGTAAACAGAAGAATTTGTTGAGAGTAAGATATATCGTTAGGTCAACAATGCTTATACATGAGGCATATTCATAACATTTGTTCAACTTTAACTTAAAAACAAGAGAAATATTTTTATAATTCGAGGCTTCCGCGCCCCTTTTTCTAAAAGTATTTTTAGCTTCTTTCATTGCGTTTTTCAAAAACATGGGTCTATCATCGCCTTCTTTTTTCTTTTAATATAAAATGTCGCAAAGGATC